GGGGGGGGATACAGTAGCTTTTCCAGTGATTCTGTAAAACCTGTGGATTTGCTAAATAGTTCAGCAGTGAAGCACATGGCTGGATGGGTGTGTGCTTGCTAGTTACTTTTTTGTGGATGAGTGTCCCATCCCACCATAATTTAACAACTAACCTGAAAAGTGTAGATTTTGGCTAGTTTTTGAGATATAATATCCGGGAAGTTCTGGAATTGTTCATTTTCTTCCGAATCCCTGGGTGCTTTTTACGTCAAATGCATTACGCATGTTCATTATGATTATGTTTTACTGTACATGCTGTGTACAAGGTTTACTATAGAAGGGGAGGGGTTATGTTACCCTGGTAAAATACTAGCTGCTTCCTACTGTGGTGGCTAGGGAGGATTTCTCTTAAGCTTATTCAGTAGAGCACCAGTTAAGTAAACCAGAGGGTCAGTGAGTTTGACTCGTAGCAGAGGCGTTATATTGAAAAATATGACCTCTTTTACAGAAGTGTGTACATAAAAGTGTTGATGATACTTAAAATTATCATGATGTTTTTGTAGACTAGTACATTTAGTATTATTATACCTCATCTTTATAACAGCATGTCTGATTGGAGGATATTGATCACATGACGGGGCAATACAAAATCATGTTACCTTCACACCCTTAAGTTTCCCCCGATCATATTTCCCTTATTCGGAGTCTCTCTAGAGAAAATAGGCAAGTCACTGTAACTGGTCATGAGTTCCGAACGATTCAGCAACTTGATAATCTTTACTAACGAATATTTTGTATAATTTCCGCATAATAGAATATTTATTCCCCTTGTGGTAGAGAAACGTGATTCTTTGTTACTCCTTTATATTATGATATACTAGTGTTATATATTTTGAAGAACATGCAATACTAACCATTAGTGTTGTATATTGTTTTCTATTTTAATCTTTTTATGCTCGTAGATTAGATATATATACAATAAATATATATTTCCTTACAAATATTTAAATAAGGTGTGTGTGTTTGCCCTTAGCACTATGCAAGTTGTCTCCCTTGTATGAGAAATTAGTGATAATTTCTGGGCATGTGGAACATTTTTTTATTCCCATAAGGAGCAGTCCAGAAAAACAACAGATTGTTGACTGTAATGTGACAAACTATGATGAATTGTCAAGTTTGCATATAGGCTTCCAGAAAAAATGTCTGTTTTTCACGTTTGATATAATAAAGTAAAGTGTCTAAATTGGAGAAAAAGTATCTGGATTCCATTTAAGCTACATGTTTACAGTAAAATGCCACATAACCCTATAGGTCGGGGATTAAGATAAGAGTTTACCTGCTATTACCCACTGCATGATCGTAAGAGGCGACTAATGTGGGAACCTCTACCTAATATAGAATTTGAATTGTGCCTTCAAGTAGAGGATACAAAAGCAACAAAAATATATCTGCTGCAATATTTGGGATTTTTATATTTCTATCTTCTTCTCACTGACGTTTGAGCAATATTTGGGATTTTTATACTTCTATCTTCTTCTCACTGACGTTTGATTCCTAGAACCTTGCTTTGGGATACCTCAATTTTGGCAGTGGGTTCTGCCCTCATGCCGGGAAACACCAAAGTCCTTAAAAAACGGTAGTTGGTTGTTCGCTACTTAACGCTCAGCAATTGGGGGAAATGACACGATGTGACCATGCAGATTTCTTCGTATGGTATTTCAGTGAGACAGCACTATAATATCGGCATCACATCCGCGCTATCGCTTCTTAGGTAATTACGCCAATAACTCTGCCGCCATCCAACATACATAAATGCACGCATACATGACACACATGAAGGTATTCCGTCTTTGCGTATTGCAGAGTTATCTTCCCTTGTGAGCAGGTATTGATTGTACGTCATTGGTTTGTGTGAGAAAATTACGTCGTTTTCTCAAAAATTGATGACGTTCCTCTCACAAACCAATGACGTAACAATCAATACCTGCTTACAAGAGAAGATAACTCTGCAATACGCAAAGACGGAATATTTGTACGTTCTTTAATGACCTTGTCTGTTGTTTGGACTTTAAACTATATAAAACCAAACCAAATTATATATTATACAGCTTCATAGTGTATCTTGATACAATGTCCCTTGTTAACCATTTTTAGCACTTGGCCATAAGGGCCACGTGAGTTTATGCCATTGCGCCGCAACCGTCAATCCATCTTTTATCTAAAGCGCTACTAGTCCAAAATTGCAAAATGCAGTTTAACAAAAAATTCTGGAACATCCTTGGATCAACTCCACAGTGTATGAACTGAGATTGTAACTGGGAGCAGAAAAGTGGGGCAAACATGTGAAATGTTGATAAATCTTTAAAAATCTGCTTATTGTTTAAGGCAAAATGGATTTAAACACAATAATGTAATTTGAAGCATCCGGGGCTTGGTCCAATTAAGATCGGTGTTGAATAAACGGAGAGTAAGGCCCTCCCAATTAACAGAGCGTGGGTACAGGGCCAAATATTGGAAATATAGGTAAATATTCAGAATCCTATTCCTTATGTGCGGAGAAATGTAAGGTATTTCATTCATTTTCCAGCAAGCAAGTCATGATCGATACTGACAACGACTATTATTGATGAAGGCGGTTTTCAAACAAAAACTATAACACGAAACAATTAATGTATATAATAATTTATTGATCACATGATTACTTATCACAGAAGACCAATATATACATTTACTGAATAGCCAAAATTTTGCAATTTCACAAAAGATGATCATCTCTACGAATTGACAAAACATCAGACCACTGACGGAAATAGAACTGACCTGAATCGATATGATTGTTAAAAAATATATGAAAAATCATATCTATCATCATCAATATTCTCAACATTCTCCTCGGAAGCCGGAACAAACAATCTGTAAAGAGAAAAATAAAGAGAAAAAAGGTTTATTTTTTCGTTCTGCGCTTAAGGCCTTACAGAATTTGCTGTATTTTGTTAAATGATTAAAATTACTGTATTATATTTCATAAGTGCTTTAAATCAGTTAATCGTTAATAGTAAGACTACTAGGAGGTATGGACGGTCGGGGGAGGGACGCATACATTCCGAGCATCAATGGATCTAAAAGTAAGACAGCTAAATAGAAACTACACACGAGAGTGTAGCATGGATTCCCCTAAAAATGAGTGTATTACGTCATCACTTCTGGGCCTTTTCCAGACGTACACGTAGGTTGGAACTTGAAGACGGCGAGCTACACGTAAGTATTAACATGTGGAATATTTATATTAGATTCCATAGTTTATGAATGAAACAACTATTTGTATAAAGTGTTATGATGGTGAGTCTTATTGAAAACTATAAACGAGCAATATTTACGTGGGAAATTTGCATTTGAAATAAGGCGCCAATATACACGTAACAGAATCGTCTAGTCATCAGTTTCCGCGCGTTATGTATTTCCGCGCAGCCATTTTGTCAAGCTATATCTCGTAACTACGTGACCTGCTGGACACAACACAGGGATATTTTAGACGTTTGGCCATCGTCTGTAAACTGACACAAAAATTACCGGAAGTTCGTTTGGAAAACATAAGAATTAATCACTGATTAAAAAACACGTATGCATATGCAGTTTTGCTTAGTGCACTTTTTATCTTGCTCAAAATGAGCCCATACCTAAAACAACAGTGATATATTTCATTCATGAACCGGTCTTTTTTGTTGTCTGACAAACGTACGAAAATGTCGTATGCAAATGAAGCCACATTTCCTCGCCGATTTTTTTTCCACTTCCGAAGAGCCAATGAGACATTCTTATATCGATAAAATGTAGTTTCAATGAAACGTAAACTTTGTAATGCAATGAACTTCCAATTTTCACCAATTTTAAACAGAACAAAATGAGAAATAATTTACCATCAACCAAAACCGATATAAGACTGCAGAAAAAGAAAAATAATAAATAAATATAAAAAATTACATGAATACATTCCATTTGACATCTTGAAAAATCTATTAAAATGTGAAAAAAAGTTGTTTTGAAAATTAATTTGACGAACAAAGGTATGGGTGGGTTTTTTTTAATTTCAAACGAAGCTTTTGTTCTTGCAGGTCACTGTAGAGAGTTTCTATTTAGTGTATTCGAGTTATCTTTCTTTGAACACTAAATCAAAATAGACACACGGAATACTTCCGACGGGAGAAATTTGTTAAAAAATGTTTGTTCTGATTTTTTAAAAATACATTTTTATTTTGCTAGTTTTTTGTTTCCATTAGTAGATTGTAAACATGTTTATGACAGTCATCCGTAATTTCAACAGTTTCCTGCCGATATGAGTACGAAATCGCGGATGCTTCTTAAGTGCGCGGAAACCGGTAACCCGAAGATACAATGTCGGTAGTGACACAGGGACCTGATAATTTGTTACAGCTATGTTTGATCAAGATCGACTTCCGAAATGCCTCCTCTAATGAATAACATAATATACTACATATAACATTATCATACAATCATTGGGGGTGGCGTTTTACCGAAAGTTGATATACGCCCCTAAAACGTGTAAAATTACAAATAATCAGGTCCCTGTGTCATTAATATGTACTCATGAAATTTAGTTGGCGTTACTTACAAGTACTCGCACCAACCGTAAGGTTGATAAACCTCTTTAAAGACAAATATTATTTCATACCAAAGATTTAATATACTGAACGTTATGCGGAAAATATGTGAATACATCAAATCAAACATTTCCCATTTCAGTCTTAAGAACGGCAAAATTAATGTTTTGCTTTGGTTTAAAATCAATTAATTATTTTAAACGAATATTTTTGTGCTTAAATGGCCGTTTTCAAAGACTGATTTTTTGCCCCAACAGATTACCTACCTAGCGAGGGACGGGGTACCAGTAGTTGATCTGACGCTGGATGCACAGTGGGAACAGAACCATATGTTTCTCCTCAAATTGATCACAGAATCTCCTCTCCCAGTACAGGTCATCCAGTGGCAGCTCCATGGTCAGTTCAAAGGAAAACGCTAGTCCGTAGTTAAACAACATCATGGCCTTTGACCGCTCCGCGAAATTGGCTTTGTCCCTCTTACGAGATTTGGATGGCTTCCATAAGCATCTTCTTTTGACCTGACACGGGGCAGTTCCGCAGTGGCGGCAGATGGAAGGACCTGTGTGTTACGTCAGAGGGAATTGGCTGTACATGTAAATATGTATGCTAGGACAGAAAGAAGGGCCTTTACACTACCAACTAAAAATCAGCATTTAAGGGGAAACTACGAGGTATTACTAACCTATATATGTAATCAATGAAGAAAAGAAAAATGAGAATGCGTAACAATAATAAGAAGAAACATTGAGGTGGTCAAGAGACGGAAACGTCTATTAACAGACCGAAACCAGGTAGAATGAGAAAATATGTAATGCATTCCAAAACGCTTCAAAAGCTGCGATAAGCGGACAAAACGAAAAAGGATTTTTTTTAAGACGGTATTTAAAGACAAAGAATAGCAGAACATATTTTTTCTTCATGCAAACAGCTTACTCCATGAAACCATTTGTATATATATATGATACGTGTATCGTCAATAGCAGATACATATTTTGTTGAATTCATTTAATAAGCAACTAGTTTGAAAGGGATAGAAGATAATTGCAATCTTTAGGCTGATGAAATATTTGACTGTGAATGGTTGTATTGCCAACAAAAATCCTTAAAAGGAAAAAGTATGTGATGTCAAATGCATAACCAGATTAATTATTCAGGAGATACATAATGGTAAATTTTAGTTTTTGCCATATTGGCATATATGTACATTAGACTGAAACGTCTCTTACATTAATTTATGTGCTGCATGAGCTTGATGTTTGCATGACCTTTAATCTTTCCGTGCTATTTTACTTTGTATTCAACTATCTGTGATGCATACTACCTTTGTGATATTTTGTTGTTTCTATTAATTTTGATTGTTATATGTAGTCGTAAGAATAGCTCTACTGAGCTAATGTTGCATTGTTACAAACACGACTGTAACTAAAAGTTCTTGTATCTTGTAGGTCTGTATATAACTTACGAGCTCTCCATTCTTGGAACATTGACCATTTCTCTTTGGCGCTTTTCACAATCGACGGCGCAAAGCCAAACAGCAGGGCTAGAAGCACACACAGCAGGGTACAAAATACTTCATTTCCAAGTCGCTGAAAGAAATTGAATTAAAATGAGAACTGTATGTTTAACATAAATGGAAATTAACGATGTTGCAGATTCACGAGTTCAATCGGGTTTTACATTCCTTATACCAGGCCGAAAAGGTCATACACGGATAAAATGGTATCCTTACCCATGTTAGGGTGACAGGCGTTGGACAAACTTTCTCGGCCTGGTTATATCCTGGCTCGGGCTCCACGCTACAGAAAAAAAATGCAAAGTTCAAATTAAATATTTCTAGACTTTTACTGACACTATAACAGTATTCCGTCTTTGCGCATTGCAGAGTTATCTGCTCTTGTGAGCAGGTATTGATTATTTCGTCATTTGTTTGTGAGAGTAACGTCATCAATTTTTGAGAAAACGACGTAACATTATTAACATTAACATGAGCTCCGTTCTGTATAAGTGTAATGTCAAAAAACTACCCAAACTTACCACGTAAGGTTCCGATATACAGCAGGACCTTGCTGCATGGCGCTCAGCATTACCACCACATATATCAAGAATAACATATTCATTGTGGACAACCTACAGTTAATAAAAGATATAAATTTTAGGGGAGAGACTGATCATTTCCGCCTTACCAGTTGCTAAGTAGTTTAGCAACAAGTATGTGACGTCACAAATGGCTTCATTGCTTTACCATCATGACGTCATGCTAAGTTTTTGTCACAACGTCAAAAGTTGAATCGAAGACACCTACGCCGAATACTGTTCTCAATTTTTCATTTGACCGTTTGATTGTTTTACACGATTTAGATGAGACACAAGAAAGTTTGTTTGAGTATATAATCCATGCTTGAGCAGAAGAACGTCCTTTAACACCCGGAAAACTATTATATCGTACGGACCGTTTTTAATGTTAGACAAGACATGACATCACTGGTCATTTCGATAAAATATGATTGAGAAATGCTTTTTTATATTTGATAGGTTAATCCCTTTATCTCACCAGTTTAGTAGAGACAGCCTCTTCCGTTTGAGATACTTCTATATACCCATAGGGACATGTCACAGATCCCCAACCCCACGGGCTGTATATGCGGACCGTGTGGTTATGAATCTGTGTCACGTCCCTTTATATATGAACATATAGCCTTGTCGGGTCTATTTCTTGGAACATCATTCCACAGTGGTTTCGACAGAGTCGTTCATACATGTACTTTCCATCATCAGAATGTTCGTCATCTTTCTTCTTTTATTGGGAGATTCCCCCTAATTGTTATAGCGGAGGAGTGACCGGGGTTCGTAACAGGGACCTACGAACTCTACACGGACGCCTGAAGCAATTGAACTATTTCATCGCCCGCGATCTACCAAGTCCAGTTTCGCTTAATTCATTTCTCACTCCTTTATCACAGAGTCTTTGCCCTTGGAAATAACATTATGTGCACTGTCTTCGTAAAAACACTGTAACAGAAGAAGAGAAATGCACAGCCACACCGGGATTCGGTCCCGGGACCTCCGAACTCTAGACGGACGCTAGCGCTCTAGGTACCTACATTGCTAAGGAAATCCACCATGTTGTTTCCTAATGCGCTCCTTGTTGTTTGATATGTTTTGTCGTTCTTTCCTGTACATGTCTGCTTACTGTTGTATTGGTGGAGGTGTCTGGATGGTTAGTATAAGCTTGTCTTGTGATTCGGTGATGAAGAGTATGTCGTCAGGTTCTGAGCCTGTCAGAGTCGTACGGGAAGCGTTAGATGACGTCACGGTCGTCGAAAGTGACGTCACTATCATCGATTGATATCGGAGTATCAAAAGCTTTTTGTATCCGCTTTAACTCAGACACGAATGGCACAGAGGTTAGAACGTTAGGCCCTAGTGCAGGGGGGAGGGGGGGGGGGGGGGGGGGGCGGTTGCGTGTTCGATGCGCGTCGATGTCGTGGTATTTTTCCATGATAGAATCCTTCATACTATCATCGGAATGTTTTCTATACACTTTTTTTTTCAAGGGTTGTATTTGAAACTTTATTTTTATAGATAGATCGATAAATGAATCTATATGAAAGGTTGTATTTTGAGACTAATCTTATTCAAGATATATAAACAAGTACGAAATAATCTTTTTTGATGTAAAGATATGCAGATGTTGCTGATTCTGTATTGTATTTTATCCTTATTTGTCCACATTTGTCCACTTTTTGTCAACATTTTGTCCACTATTTTTCCACATTTGTCCTTTTTTGTCCACTATTTGTCCACATTGGTCCGCATTTGTCAACTATTTGTCCTTATTTGTCCTCTTTTTGTACACATTTGTCCACTTTTTGTCCGCTTTTGTCCATATTTGTCCACTATTTGTCCTCATTCGTCATCATGAATCTCCATTTTGACAGTATCTTGCTAGTCAAGCTAAGGCAGTCAGCAAATCAATAAAGATCATTGCTACGGGTCCCCCTTTTTTTTTCTTTTTTTTTGGGGGGGGGGGGGGGTCGCCCCATATTATCCGATCATATTCGGGGGTATCATCAGCGACCAGCTGACTTTCTGTTGCCGGTTTAATTTGTCTTTTTGTATGTTTTTTGTTTTGTTTTGTTTTTTGTTTTTGTGTTTGTTTTTATTTTATGCATTGATTGATGATCATTTTCATAAGCAACACTCCCGTCAGTCATCTCATTGATGTGTCGACAAACGAAGACATCATGAAACGAGCGATTAATCGAAGTCGTCTACGAAATACGTGTTGGCATGAAAGTCATTTTTTAATAAAGACGTTATGTCAGGACATCGTTTTACCTTTACATCTCTGAACTATATAGAAAATGCAATGTTGCCCGCATACTATTGATTGGAAGTGTTGTAATCTAACGTCGTTTTACGTCCAACTTCGGCACTGTCTGTCCATGAAATCAGTAATTACTTTATTCGTCGTGGGAAATCCGAAAGGATCGTAATATTCTCCTTAGCCTTTACAGTATATGTGCACTGCAATCAAGTGTTTACACCCAAGTGTATCGGGATCTGTGTTACACACGAGTGAACACGGCACGTTTAAATGTCTCGGCAATCTGTTTCTGGCGTACACGCCTTTAAAATGAGGACAGTTTTTTTTTAAGATGGAATCTATTTGAATGGTATTCATCATGCGCTGTAATCGAATTAAAACTGTCTGTTGTGGTCGATTTCTATGATGTTGTCAAACTCTGTATACACTATGACGTTGACCGTCGCTGTTAAAATCGCATTGAAATGAAGTTGTAGACTCATGTTTCCGCTTTTTATGAGATGAAATGTGCCCATCTCCGACAGGTCGGGCGTGAGGTCAAATCCGAACAGGGTGTATCCTTTCCCGAATTCATCTCGAGGCACATTGTTTCCCTCGTCGTTGTAAATTTTACCCGTGCTCGTATAGAGATTCATGTAAATGCGTACGTACTGACCGTTCGTGAAGTCCGGCTGTAATGGCTTGGCGGGAATTTGTTTCCCGTCCACATTAAGACACACGTAATCGACATTGTAGTGTTTGAAATTGAAAGGATTTTTGGTGGCGGTACCGTCAAACGCGTCCGTATCGACCAAGCCCAGGACGATCTTCTCGGGCATCTGTCCTATGAACAGGTTGTCCTTGGTAAAGTCAATGTTACCTCGAGGCACGGACGTCACTTTCATTTCTATTCTCCGTATTGGATACTTAGCGGGAGTTTTTTTCCATGGCTCTTGCTTGAGCAACGCAAACGGTCGGATTCAAACGCACTTTCCTTGAGTACAGACAGATATCTTGCACGACCGCTTCAAACGTGTCGCCTGCTGAACGCGTCCTTACTGCGTGACATGTTTATTTCCACGTCGACGTTGTTGACTAAGTATCGTTCCTTTGTAAACACGTCCGAATGGATTTTCCCAATCAAATCGACGGTGCGACTTCGTCATCGCTTTCTTCGCAACGTATCCCAAGTTTTCGGCGCCCTGAGTGTCCATTTCACCTGCGGTGTCGTTGTACCACATGGCGCCTGTCAGTTGAGAGTCTTTAGCTGCGGGCCCGTATAACTTAACAGGGTTTCGATGTACGCTCTGTACGGATAGGCATTGTCGGGCGGAGACACCAGCTTTTCGTTTAGACTGACACTCACGTTATTGAACAGCAAATGAAGGATTAAATTCGACGGAGCTACGTTCGAATCATCCTCTAGGGCGGCACCGTCGGCTTTCTTTACTAACTGTACTTTCACGAACAGGTTTGTGTCCCCATGTCTAAGTAATCTTCTCCGGATCCAGATATCTGAAACGTGTACGGATCTCCGTCGTTGACACTCGTCTGGGTGGGAGGTACGTCAAACAGATAAAATTCGGATTTCGCGCATTCGTACACGAATTCGGATGAACTTACGACATGACTTATGTCTTGCGAAGTTTAATCGCGGACGAACGAAAAATCGCTATATTTTGTTTCTATTTATACACTTTTCTGCCCTAATCGTCTAAAAAGTCGCACTTCCGGCGTTGCGAGCCCTAGACAACGCTGCAGTTTTGATATTCTTGCCGTCTATGACGTCGCCTGGCATTGCCATACCCGTTTTTAGAGCCTGTGTTCCTAATGACTTCGCACCTCTTTTTAACAATGGGGCTGCAGCCTTAAATAAACCGCTGAATATCGAACCCAGATCTTGACCTCTCGGCATTCGACTTCCGGCGAAAACGTTGTTTCCGCTTCCGGCTTGATCGAGATAATACCGATCGAACACGTAAGGATCGCTTCTGTGTGGAGGATGTCTCATCTTGAAGTTATTGAAATATTGTCGTAGATGTTCGCGGATCACTGCAGATTGCTGTTGATTACTGTCGTTTCGACTCGTATAATTTTTAGGGAAAGTCTAAGGGTCTTCTTTCGAAATGTAGCGTCATCACTACTTTGCCAGTCCCGAACGACACGGCTGCGCCCGTTTCGTCTTTCAGCGTGAGTTTCACCACTTGAAATTGATGTTGTTGTAAAGGGTACGTAGTGTACGGGATCGAACACTTTACACACCGTGTCTCCAGGTTTTCCTTCTATCGGAACGATGAGTAATAGCGGAGCTCTCGTATCTAAAGACCATTCTCGCTTCGACGAGAGGACAGTAAGTGTACAGAGAATAAAATCCTCCTCTAAAGAGTGGATGGGGGAGGAAGTACTCTAAAGAGCGGATGGGGAGGAAGTCCTCTAAGGAGAGGAGGTGGAAGAAGTCCTCTAAGATGCGGTTGGGAGAGAAAGTCATCTAAGGTGCGGATTGGGGAGGAGGTCTTCTAAAGAGCGGGTGGGGGAGGATGTCCTCTAAAGAGCGGATGGGGGAGAAAGTCCTCTAAAGAGCGGATGGGGGAGGAAGTCCTCTAAAGAGCGAATGGGGAGAAAGTCTTCTTAAGAGCGGATGGGGAAGGAAGTCCTCTAAAGAGCGGATGGGGGAGAAAATCCTCTAAGATGCGGATGTGATTTCGTTAGGGAATTAATACGGAATTCAGTGTATCTCTGTGTGGGAATTAAGTATGTTTTTGTCCAAGGTGAGCGAGACTATATTGTTGAATAAATGTTTGTTCTGTAGTGACTGAGATTTTACGACATTCAATTACACCGATAACCTAAGACCATGCAGTGAGTATTCTCATTTACCTACCTTATCCGACGTATCCGTTGGGTCAAAGATTCTCGATGACTGTCCGATGATCAACTGTGAACTCAAAGGACACATCCGATATTTTAAACTCTGTCACACATACACAAAATATAAACACAATGATTAATTAAAGTATGTCCCAAAACAGCGTGCCTACTCTCTGACGTTCCCCCCAAGGCTGGCTACAAATCAAAAGATTAAGGTGCTTGTTATTACTTTCTGGTATTTTAAGATATAACGTCATATCTATTTCTATATTCACCGGACGAAACAGATGAATGTATGCAAATTAGGATAGCGCATCCGGTTTAGCCTGGCAGACTTGGGTTTTTCCTGAAGGTCACACGTTATTCAAATGCAAATTTGGGTTTTTTCCGTGATGTCACCTCATACGGTTTTTCCAATGACGTAACACTCTATTCGAGGATTGTTTTTTCCCCATATCTCATTAATAAGCATATAACCACGTCCCTCATATGCAAATTAGGCCAGGCTTATCCTGCTTTTCCACCCAGGCGCAACTAGACATGTGCCTCCTGTACGTACTATACTACTACTTCCTCCCAATCCGCTCCTTAGCGGACTTCCTCCCCCATCCGTTCCTAAGAGATTTTCCCCATCCACACGTTAAAGGACTTCCTCCACCTCTACTCCTTAGAGGATTTCCTCCCCATCCACACCTGAGAGGACTTCCTCCAACTCTGCTCCATAGAGGACTTCCTTCCCCATCCGCACCTTAGAGGACTTCATCCACCTCCACTCCTTAGAGGACTACCTCGCCATCCAAACTTCAGAGGACTTCATCCACCTCCCCTCCGTATAGGACTTCCTCCCCATCCGCAACTTAGAGGACTTCCTTTCCAATCCGCTCTTTGGAGGACTTCCTCTCCTATCCGCACCTTAGAGGTTTTCCTCCCAATCCGCATATTAGAGGACTTTCTCCACCTCCGCTCCTTAAAGGACTTCCTCTCTCATCCGCTCTTTGGAGGACTTCCTCTCCATCCGCACATTAGAGGACTTCCTCCCCCATCCGCACCTTAGAGGACTTCTTTCACCTCCACTCCTTAGGGGACTTCCTCCTCAATCCGCACCTTAGAGGACTTCTTCTCCCATCCGCAACTTAGAGGACTTCCTCTACTATCCGCACCTCAGAGGTTTTTCTCCCCATCCGCATTTTAGAGGACTTCCTCCAACTCCGGTCCTTAGAGGACTTCCTCCAACTCCGCACATTAGAGGACTTCCTCCACATCCGCTCCTTAGAGGACTTCCTCCCCCATCCGCACCTTAGAGGACTTCCTTTCCCATCCGCACCTTAGATGACTTCCTCCCCATCTGCACCTTAGAGGACTTTCTCCAACTTCGCACCTTAGAGGACTTCCTTTCCCATCCGCACCTTAGAGGACTCCTCTCCTATCCGCACCTTAGAGGTTTTCCTCCCCATCTGCACATTAGAGGACTTCCTCCACCTTCGCTCATTAGAGGACTTCCTCCCCCATCCGCAACTTAGAAGACTTCCTCTCCCATCCGCACCTTAGAGGACAACTCCCATCTGTACCTTAGAGGACTTCATCCAACTCCGCTCCTTAGAGTACTTCCTCCCCATCCGCACAATATAGGACCTCCTCCCCCATCTGCACCTTAGATGACTTCCTCCCCCATCTGCACCTTAGAGGACTTCCTCCCCCATCCACACGTCATTCAAGTTTAAATTTGGTTTTTTTCCGTGATGTCACCTCTTACGGTTTTCCAATGACGTTACATTCTATTCTAGGATTGGTTTTTCCCATATCTCATAAGTAAGCATATAACCACGATTCTCCAAAACGATTCCGAATATATTCAACTAACGTTTAGATAGCAACAGAACACGCAATATTTTATTTTTAGACTATACGACGTCCCTTCATTGAAATTGCCGTTACGTCACAAATCTTGGGGATTTTCCACGACACCCCGGCGCAGCTAGACATGTGACTCCTGTGCGTACAATGCGGTTATAGACACTGTGTACATGATGTCCATTGGAAAAACTGTATGAGGTGACATCACGGAAAAAACCCAAATTTGCATTTGAATGACGTGTGACCTCAAGGAAAAACCCAAGTCTGCCAGGCTGAGCCGGCTGCGCTACCCTAATTTGCATAAGAATGATATGATGTTATGATGTACGTAGAAATAGACAGCGCTGTACGTATACAGCGCGCAGGTATAGAAAGCGACTAGGGTATTCCGAGTGATACGCTCGAGTTCGGTATTGTACATGTCTGGCTAACTAACGTCACACTGACAGTTCATTATGACTGTATACCAGTCTAACACATTTATTAATTGATATAATAACTGTAGTTGATATTGAACATGTCCAAACACGTTAGCTTTGCAGGTCACGGTGTGTATGGACACGTACACAGTGTCTATTACCGCAGTGTTTTTATTAATGTCTATTTTTAGACATATGTTTTGTACTGAGTTGTAACAGTATACGAATAAGTTATAGAGCTGTGTAGGGCCGGCTGTGTATTCTATACAAAGTATCTGCAGCTTGACGAATACTAATATTATCTTTTTAACAGTTCAAATTTTCGTATTTACTGTAAGATTCTGAATACCTAACGTCCCGAAAAACAAAACGAGTCAAGCCTCCTTCGATCGATTTGGTATCGATGACCCATCAGTAAGCACAAGTGTGGACTACGAACAGACACACATAAACCCTAAATAAAACAAAACAAATCAAGCCTCGCCCGATCGGATTGAAGCAGTGGTATTGGTGACTCCTCAGTACACACATCAACACACACATGAACCTTAAAATCCTACACTATGAACATTTATTATTGATTATAGTCTATCAGAGTTGTGTTGCTATTTTTACGTGTACAATCACAGTACGCCCATATTCAATGTATAGTCAACTTTATAAATACACGTATACTCTCAAAAACTATCATTCGATATTACGTTGTGTAAAGATTTTTTCTTATGATAAACTGTTTTTCAATATATATTTTATTTCATTCTTATATTTTTTCTCAACTCCTCCACAGATGGCTACACACATATGTTCTTCCTGTCAGGAAATCTTCCATTCCAGCTCTGAAGAGAGACCACTAGATGAAATACATCGCGAATAAGACTTCCTAAATGGAAAGGTAGAAATATGTTGTCACATACTACTACGATATACTGTTAATATGTACAAAAATGCTATTTAATTTGCATCTAAAAAGCGTATTGTCGTACTTTGAACTAAAATAACACAATCCTTTCGGTATGCATTTTGATTGTGTGCGATATAGAGAAGTCTATTTTATATCGTTTACCTTACCCTAAGTGTTGTGTTACCGTTTACTTTTTACAACAAAAAGTAAACTTTTATTATCATAATACATTAGTTATTAGTTCTACCGATCAGTCATGTAAACTTTCTCTACGTAGGTTTCATAATTCAAAAGGATATGTCTGATATTGAATAATTATTTTCAGGTTTTCCTCTGTTCCACATGCCATCCATCCGAAGGGAATAAATCACAAAAAGGAGCAAATCATGTTTTTCTTTCATACAATAGAACAGAATGGGGGATACGTAATTTTCAATAAAAGGATGAAATTGTATGAATGTTTAACTTCAAATTTATCTCACAAAAACATCCGTTTTATCATTGCTTTACTGGCAAAATCATTTGTAAATCGGACAAAACCTGTGCACAAAATAAAGATTTTCGTTGTTCAGAATCATGGACCATTTTTTCAGTGTTGAGGCAAAATTGCATGAGATGGAATTTTCACCCTCAGAGCTTGGACACATTTATACACTTATCTCACCAAAATTATCATTTCCAATAAGTTCTGCACACATACATTGGATATAAAATGAGTGTAAGCATTTGCTTGTCCTTTTTCAAATTACATGTTACAGAAATAGGTAAATTATTTATTGTGGACATAAGTTAACACCAAATCGGCACAATTGGTCAAATTAGATGGTTGATATTTTTTTTTATGTAAATGTACCATTTTTCGTGCATTAATTTTGATAAAATGTGATGTTTTAAGAAGGTAGATATAGACTCATATGGTCACTGAGATTAAGTAATTAGTATTTTCTGAATTCAAATAGAAAACTAGCCAATATTGTCAAGCTCAAAATGCTTTTAAGCCATATTATCATAGTTCAATACTTTTTCAATGCAAGACCTCTGCTGTAACATTTTGGGTAAATCTGTACTATATATATTTCAGTTGGTCTTGCTATACGGTTAATCTTATATATATATATATATATATATCCAGTATTGTAAAAAAGGGTAGATATTACACTTCAAAAGTGGTCAGATATGTGATTTTCCTTATTTTCTTGATCCTATAGAAGGCCTTTTTCTTTTTTAACAAAGTTTGATTCCAGAAGATTTTTTTCCTGTTAAAATACTGATAGTCTAGCATTCCAAAAAAAATATTTAAAAAACCTGTTGCAATTAGTTTGAGGTTTGGGCTGATTTAGCGTAAGGTGACTAGACTATACATTCAACAAGTTATAAAACATGAAGATTGTTTTATGAAGAGCTTCAAGGATACACTTCCTGTAACCCCACTGGACGTCTACTTCGAATTCCGGACGGAAAAAAAATAGTCAACAAGTAGCAAGGGGGGCAACTCTGTTTACGCCTTCGACGCCCGAGAGCTACGCTCTTATTGTTTGTGTTTATTATTTTTAAGTGCTATTTCAGATATTTTTTAATAGACGAAACTCTTATCATAAAAGAACTAAAATGTCACAAACCCAAACGAGGAATGTAATCCGGATTTTTTGTACAAAGCCATTTCGTAACTTACAATCTTAAATACATTTCCGTTTTATTCTACTTTCGTTTTTTCAATGATACGTGGGTAAGTAAACCATCGTAATTTACTATGCTAATGAGTCGTTTACCAATACAGTTTACCATACATATAACTTTATATTAATTGCGTCTTAGGCTAGCACAGATGTTTGCCCGAAGGGCTATCTTTGGCGGATGGAAGATTATTGGAAGGAGGAAATGTGGTTCCATGTAGAACAATGATAGCTGGCCCCGAGACCAGACTGTTGTCAAATGTCTAAGTCTAGTGTCAGGCAGGGCCAGAGAAATTTTGGGCCAGGTACCATGTGCATGTTATCAATGCTCAAACAACTAGCAGATTTTAGGGACTTGGAAATTTCTTGGAATTATATCTATAATACTTTTAGTGGCGCTACACATTATGTGTTGCTTTTATGATGAATGTCTGCTACTTTCTAGTTCTAAGCTGGCTATGGGAACCGTAGCCCAATGCTTGATCAGTTTATTTCATTTTGAATTTACAATAACAGGTCCGACAATGTTAAATTTCAAAATAAACTAGAAAGTAATGACGGGCTTTTCACGGTTACATGATATGCTTGCCCACTTTTAAAATTTCCATATGGGAGATTACACCTACTCAGATGTAAAACCATAAATAAAATGTGTGTATGTACACCCCAGGGAAAAATAATTCTTTTAAATGGCATCTTTTGAGATATTCTTTCAGATGAAATTATCAGATTTTAGAAAATAGGAATAGTTTTAAAAAAATACTGGTTAAAAATGCTTAATGTGAGAGTTTCAAATTTGGGACTCTCCCTTCTATATAGGGAGAGTTGGTAAGTATGTGACTTGGACTGATTTTGTCTTTGATCACAAACTTTTGTTTAAACCTCCTGGTCTCTACCTCTATGAAGAACAGGTTAATATAAACAATAGTACTGAAAGTATGCTTTGTTTCTGGTTCAATATAAATCAAAGTATTAATAGTAAGGATACAATGCAAAAATTGTCCAAATTTGAAGATGGATTTTGGCAGTCATTGTTCAAATCACATTCAAGATATGTCAAGGTCATTCATTGAAACAGCGTTATTGTCCTTCATTCAGGAATGCTCCTTGTCAAATATCATGGACCCAGGCCTCTTCCTTATTTGGGAGAGGTTGTTTAAACATTTAGTGGAAAGCCCTAAATATCCAAAATTTCAAGGGAAAATAAAATAAATCGGACACTTGAGCTATGTTACAGCAGCTAGTTTGTATCCATCTATGCTAGCTAATGCATGCACACATTTTGTATTTATGTTACCAGATTCAATCTTCACACCTGAAGAAAAATGGCTTCGGGAGGAGATGAGCCTCAGGACTGGAGAGATAATAAGAGTTTGGTACAATGCAACCGCTACATCTTGGAACAGGAAATTGGCTGTGATGTTCGTTTTGAGGTCGGAGAGGGAGATAACCAAAAAAGTATGGCGGCTCACAAGTCCCATTTAATGGCAAGAAGTGATGTGTTCTTTGCCATGTTTGAGGGACCCATGGCTGAACCAAATAGCATGATACAAATACCGGATATTGAGCCAGTCACCTTCAAGTTGATGTTACAGTAAGTATATCTGCATTTTGTTTTCAGAAAGAAAAACAAAAACATGCATCAATGTCATTCATGACGTAACAGGACTATAGCAATATTTACTGCCTCGAGTATTTAATTAAATAATGGACATTTCGACAAAATCCCTTAATAAGTTTATTAGGTAAAACTACAACTTGAAATCCTACCTTAGAATGACATTTCAATTCGCCTCTGGAGTGCAGAGTAAGTGAAATAGGTCAAAGATACCTATACTTTGATATTTGACCTTAACCTCTGTCAAAGTCTGTCTGCATATCTTCTATACTATTTCACATGGAGTAACCAGATGAGGTACATATATGCAGGTACATCTTGGGATCGCAGAGTGCAGAATATGAGTAGTAGGTCACTGACCTTTGACCTTAACCTTTAAAAAGGATTGTCCTCAGCATATCTTTTATTTTATTTCACAAAGATTAACCAAATTCAGTGTGCATGTAATCCATGTATCTTATGGTGGTGGAGTGCAGTGTATGAAAAGTACAGTAGTTCACTGTAATCTATGTTTTGACCTCTAACCTCAGTCAGTAATTTAAACAGTTTATACAGAGCATATCTCATCAAAAATGATTTCACCTGGAGTATTAAACCAGATTTGGTATGCAACTACATCTTGGGATTTCAACAGATGGAGTGCAGAATATGAGAAGTAGGTTACTGTGACCTGTGCTTTGGCCTTTGATCCTACCCTTTGTGCATTTTTTTCGCAAGCATGTCACTTTAATCTATTTCACCAGGATAAACCAAATTTAGTATGCAGTTACAGTAAATCTTGAAATGGGGGAGTACAGTTTAGGAAAAGTAGGTGACTGTAATTACTGTCAAAAACTTCAAACTACTTCTTCTGAAGAACTGAAAGGCCTAGAACCATGATATTTCTTCTGGTAGCTTCCTAGTTTGGAGTCTTTGTTACAAAGTTTGTTAATATATAAGGCCATTACTTATTTTCAAGATCAAAGTGGCCAACTTATTCTGAAGAACTGAAAAGCCGATGATTATGAAATTTGACTGGTAGCTCCCTTGAATGGAGCCTGACAATTTAGTTTGCTAACAAAAATGACCTTGAGCTATTTTTGAGGTCACAGGAATCAAATATGTCAAAAGTTTCAAAACAATTTCTTTTGAAGAACCCATATACTTAATCAAAGTGTATAGTATGCGGCAGGTCTTAACTTAAAATAACAAATTCCAGGTGAGCTATTAAGGCCCATTGGCCTCTTGTTAAACGAATATATATTTATTTTCTATATTAAATTTCTTTGAAGTAACAAAATTTGGTATGCAGGCCAAGTATATCAAAATAAACTGTACCAAAAGCAAGTCACTGTAATATTTAGTTGATACTTTCTTTACATAAGGTTGATACTTCCTTTACATAAGGTTGATACTATCTTTACATTAAGTTGATACTATCTTTACTTAAGGTTGATACTTCCTTTACATAAGGTCGATACTATCTTTACATAAGGTTGATACTATCTTTACATTAAGTTGATACTATCTTTACATTAAGTTGATACTTTCTTTACATTAAGTTGATACTATCTTTACATAAGGTTGATACTATCTTTACATTAAGTTGATACTATCTTTACATAAGGTTGATACTATCTTTACATAAGGTTGATACTTTCTTTACATACGGTTGAGACTATCTTTACATAAGGTTGATACTATCTTTACATAAGGTTGATACTATCTTTGTTAACCCTAAGATAGGTGTACTATCTTTGTTAACCCTGAGATAGGTGTACTATCTTTGTAAACCCTGAGATAGGTGTACTATCTTTGTTAACCCTGAGATAGGTGTACTATCTTTGTTAACCTTGAGATAGGTGTACTATCTTTGTTAACCCTGAGATAGGTGTACTTTCTTTGTTTACCCTGAGATAGGTGTACTATCTTTGTAAACCCTGAGATAGGTGTACTATCTTTGTTAACCCTGAGATAGGTGTACTATCTTTGTTAACCCTGAGATAGGTGTACAGCTCAGTAAGAAAAGAAATCATTATGGGTTGCCTTGATATACTTTGTGTTAATATTCTTTTTTTTAACGTAAATTTCTTTATTTTTAATAAAAAAATACTATTTACTTACAGGTTTATTTACTGTGACGATAACAAAATAGACTTAGTGGATTCCTTTCCTCTCCTGTATGCAGCTCAGAAGTACAACTTAAAAGGCCTAGCTGTCAAATGTGTCCAGCGCATACGACAGGGAATATCATCGGACAAGGTTTGCTGGATATTCATGCATGGTTGTATTTGGTCCCAGGACGAGGTCAAAGATCTCTGTATGAAGCACATCATTCACCACTCCTATGCCGTGTTTGGTTCAAAGGGATTCCTCGACATGTCGGAGGAAAGTCTGATTGAGATTCTCAAGAACGGGAGGCTCAACATGGAGGAGAAAGACATATTTGAAGCTGTTGTTAAATGGGCCAGAAGAAAATGCAGAACGGAAAACAACCGTGGAAATTTGCGCAATGCCTTGGTTAATATTTTGCCACATATTCGATTTGCGAGAATGGAGCTATCATATTTTTCTGAAAAAGTCTCTCACATGGATATCCTGACTCCAGAAAGACTTGTCGAAACTTTTCGATTCTTAACCAGCAGGAAGGCAGACCATCCAGATCAACCCAGGGATAGGAGAATCATTTTTGAGAGATTCACAAGAGTGAAGAGCGGCAAAGGCTATTTCCGAGGCAATGCGGATGCTATCTCTTTCATGCTTTCAGAAGATGCAAGATTGCATGAGGTGTTGGTCTATGGGAGCTGTCAGTCTGAAGGTTTATATAAAATAGATATTAAGGTTATAGAAGACGGGGATCGACAGTTGTGTCGGAAGCAGATTGATCTTGAAACAGATGGATTCACGAAGACCTACCCAATCGAGATAGCGCCCCCGATGATGATGAGCAAAAATATGTGCTACACTTTGTTGATGGTGATGGTAGGGCCAGCCAGTTACTTTGGAGAGAAAGGGGTGATCGCGAAACAACAGGAAGGGCTTACAATAACTTTTCTACCCAATGAAAAGGGATTGAATGGCACAAACATCAAACAAGGCCAATTCAATAGCTTAGTATTCAAGAAAACTCGGTCGAGGTAGATCTGCTTCGACTTTGATAAAACAAAACAAAAAAAGGTTTCCATACTTTGTACAGATTTAATGCAATGGTTGGTTTTTCATTTATGTGGGGAGAAAAAGAACCTATGTATGCAGCAATAAAATTTTGGATTCCAGATTGTTAGGACTGTAGTGTTATGGTGATTTCTTGATGTTCAATAATCTCAGGATGCTTTTACATGACATTCCTTAACCATAACTCATTTACCCCTGAAAGTTCATAATAAGCTATACCAAACTTTGAATTGGAAGAGTTCAAATGTGTCTTCGGGTGTGAAAGAGTTAAGCTTATGAGGCTGTAGTAATTCGAGTATTATGTAAATATTAACTAAATGCAAGAGACAATCCAGATGTTATAGTATTCAGAGAAAGCCAGGATTTTTGTGATACATAACGACGATACGCTGTGACGCCATCAAAAGTATCACACATTGGGAAACCAAGTGGAGGGAGATCTCCTACACTGGGCTCCTTGGAGGTTTGCAACCCTGACATCACTGTACTTCAAGTACATTGTAGTACAACTTGAGATGCTGGTCATTTGTTAGGGCTGCGGTGGCCAAGTGGTTAAGGCGTCTGACATTCTGCTACCACTAGCCCTCCACCACTGGGTCGTGGGTTTGAACCCTATGTGGGGCAGTCTCCAGGTACTGGCTGTACAATGTAGGTCGGTGGTGTTTCTCCGGGAACTCCGGCTTTCCTCCACCACCAAGACCAGGCGCGGCCTTAAATGACCATAGCTGTTAATAGGACGTAAAACACAAACAAACAACCAACAACATTTGTTAGTCTAATAGTCTTGAAGTCAAATAATAACTAGACATACAAAGAAGAAATTTAAATTGGGGTTTCGATAAGATTTCAGGTTGCATGCATCCAACACAAAGTAGGTGTTTTATTTTTGTACATTTTCATAGTACCCCATTACTGTTCTTCTGACTTTTTCATGAAAGTAGCCGGATAAATATCTATCGTAGGAGGGTATTTTTAACCGGCTACTGGCTTCAAATGAAACCCCTGTGTATATATTCCAGCTAAAAGTTTGCAGCCCACCTCGGGGTCTGACAGTCCACCAGCAAAGCGAACCACCTTGTGTTGTTAAATAATCACTACGAAAGTACCATTTCAGAAATTAATCATGTTGATGCAGTGCCAGCCAAACAAATCAAGGATTTTGTACAGCTTTATATGGCCATTTCTTCCATTAAGGACTCACCAGTGGATTCTAAAGGTCAAACGAATTAATGTCTAAATAGTTCCGAAGCATATATATATGAAGAAATTCAGGGCAAAGGGGAAAGTGCATACATAACATTTTAGAGTGTTACAAGTTCACAACTTTTTATGCAACAGAAAATTTATGCTTGAACAAATATTTCGTGTAATAAATGCGAGAACATATTCCAGCTGCAAGGTTATATCCAAATGCTGGGACTGATACTGTTAGTTCACCAAAAGATCTGTGGGTAATATACTTTCATACACACTATCCTTAGTAAGATAGATTGGGGCAGGTGTTCGTTTGAATACAACCTAAGTCCTTAAAATATCACAAATTACAGTTTTTATGAGTAAGGATGATTGGTTATGCTGTTTGGTGTTTTTTGCATTTGATTGTACATATATAGCTTACTGTAGATCAGTAGTATTACACTACTAATTCCTGCAATTTCTTGATGCGGCAATATTGTCATTGTTTTACTTTAAAAAATGTAATAAATAGCAAATTTAATATTTTTTCCATTAAGTACCATATACATTTCACTCATTTGGCAAAATGTAATCATTTTGCATGTTTAACTCATCTGGCCCAAAGGGTCAAGTGAGATTATTCCATGGGACATTATCCATCATCTGTAGTCCATCATTTTGTCCTTCCAAAGCCTACTACTCCTGTACACCTAATCAAATTTTAACCGAATTTGGTCTGAAGAATCATTGAGCTGAGGGGACTCACTGCTGTATAAACGAAGGGTGTACCTTTAAGTCAATGTTATATAAACAGGAAAAAGAAGTAAATCTTTTTAGATAATTTTTTCTCCAGGTTTTCTAATTTTTAATGAATGTGAACAAACAAAGTGTTAATGATTACCTCATGTTCAGTTATTAGGGCTGTCACAATTAATTGGAAAACAGGTATATTGCAATACACGGGTATAATGTATTGTACATGTACGACAATACAGAGATAAAATATTGCTGTATTGCAATACTTTTTTCAAAAGCTTATTTTTATGTATCTGCTTTGCAAATTACTACAAATTCTAACAAATTTCATACTTCAAATTTTGTAATCGGTGGTTGGTTTGACAAAAATCTTAAATCTATGTCATCCATATTATATATGATTAAGTTTGATAACATTCTGATGACAACTTATTATAAAATTGAGCACATCCTTTCTATGACAATATATCGGGATACGTATCGCAATATATTCATTCTGTATTGTAATATATCGTGATACACTCTTGGCGTATTGTGAGTTGTGACACCCCTATCAGTTATATTTTTGGCTGATTTGAAATACAATTTTTCTATCTTGGCTTTGATTAGATAAAATATTTTCTATTTTGCGATTATTAACATGAAACACTTTAACAAATGTTCCTTTTATGGTTCTGACTAAGTGCTTTTATTTTCAAACCTATATTCACCGTCAAATCTGGCCACCTGTGCATGACGTCTAAATAATTCTCATTTCTACCAGATCAATTTCAAAGAAATCTCATACAGATGTCTCAGTCTTTGCCCTTACCAAATGTTGTTGTTTTAACTATTTGGCTTAAGAAGAAATCTGAGGTGGTCACCATGGTCTAAAGTTGGAAGGAGTTTTGAAGTCTAGCTTGGATACTCGCATGAGAACCATATGAGCGATACAGATCCTATAGGCATCTTGTTTTGTTGATATCATGTAAATCGCTAACATTTTTAATTGTACATATATAGTAAATAATAATATTTTATTCTACCACTAACATGTAATTCCTAACCCATCATTTTTGTTACAGTGCATATTTTTATATTACACTTAATAGCGGTGGGCTGATGATTGATTATAATCGAAACTTGATTGGTTTGCCCTTTTCGATTCCAATTATTGATTACAAATTCCATTATTGATATAATCGGTTCTTGATTAAAAATCGAATGTTAAATATTTTCAATGTAAAAATGTATTGAAAGTCATATATGCTTATGCAATAAAGCTGCATAAAAATTGCTTGAAATTCATACATTATGGAATAATGAAACCTAGTGTATAGTTAACAACTCTGTCTGTTGATGTAACAATAGCGTTCTCACTTTATTTGGGTATTCAGTCCCATTATATTATGAACCGATTATGCAATCAATCATCGTTCAGTTTTCTACTTCCAAATACGAACCAATTATCGATTATGATTTTGAAATGATTGCCCACCACTAACACCTACACAAACATGAACATATATGACATTGAAGTTAGGAAAAGCACTATATTAATATTTAAATTGATGTGTATTTTTCGCAATTGAACAAATAAATGTAAACTAAATAAAACGAAGGCAGCTTGGTTATATTTTCTCAAGAATCCACAGACTTACCTGTACTGAAAAATTCTGGACAACTTGAAAATTTCTAAGGTCTGTGGTGTAAACTATACATTTCTCCTTATTGGCTAAATTTATGAAAGTGACATTTTTAAACAACCATTAATTGGCAATTTAAGTGGCTTGACTCTTTTTTTTATATATAAATAAGGTAAATCATTATGAAAATGTAATTAATGAATCTTTTAAAAGTGAAAATGTGATTGAATTTCTGATTGGGTCTTTGTATTTGAAACAATTATTGATTATCAGGATATTGATTTAGGTTGATTAAAATGTGGAGTAGAATCGAGCTTAAGTTGCTTTTAGTTCTGCTTCGTGTAGCTTCATTATGTTGTGAATAGAATCAAGATACATGTATTAAGGTTAACTCATTCATTCCTTCATTTTTAAACTGGACTTGCCCAGTCATTGATTTGGTAAGGTTCAAATGTGACTTTAGGGGTGAATGGGTTAAGGGTACCTGAGTTAAACTATATTACCATTTTCACCATTGGAAACTGATTGTTGAAGCCCTTTTCAAAAGAAGAGTTCCATGTTTATCAAAACAATGTTTCCATGCTTTATACTGATTACAGTTGTTCAAAACTTGAATGTTTAAAAATAGAAATTAAAAAAATCTGATACGAAAAACAGCAGGAGTCGAACTCAGGACCTCTGCTACATACAAAGCCTACTCTTTATACAATTTGCCGTCTAGGAATCATTACTGCTAATGATGAAAACTTGGGGCCAACCTATTGGCCTCAAAAGCCCATGAAAAACTTGACAGGGGAAGTTACTCTAAGTCAAAAAATATCCTTTTGATTGCTTCATCTTCTATATAGAAGGGAGATTACTCAAAGTTTACAAACAAACTCTTGGTGGAACCCTTTTTTACGAATATAACTAGTGGGTGCCTGTTACTTATATGTTTTTTTTCCAGATATAGTATATATACCGGCTTCATACCTCTCTCGGACTCTGTCTCGTCAGAAAACTTGGTTTTACAGACAGTAGGTATATTTTAAGTAAGAGAATTATGAAAATTAAACAGTGAAATATTTTTTAAGAAGATTAAGTAAATCATTCCTTTGACACATGTCCGTTTTAAATGTATTTATAACACATAAATGTGTTCCCAAACTGGTCAATGCTAACGTAGTTTATTTGAAAGAGAAAATGTAGTGGGTTAATTATCACACAGGTCAGTAAATTCAACCGAATACAACATGCGGGTATACAGTCAGACATGTCTATATAACACACACTTTGGACTATCAATAGTTGACAAATGGTACAGAGTATGCTGTTACTCCCACGGGGGCTAGACACGGACCTACGTCCTTATGAATGCATGTACATTTGTACGTATCTTTGACCTTGTCAATTGTCAAATATATTCAGTCGTGGGAAGGATCATAGTCGAGATTTGTTAAATAGTCATCTGCCAATCATTTTATAGTGATGCAGGTCCTTTTATTGTCTATTCGAAATTTTACCGCTGTTAATACACATACACAGAATTGAAGGCTTTTCACGTCAACTTGTACATTGAAAGCGAAACCCTTTCGAAAATAGACACGTCCTTGTCATCACTGTGTAAAGAAATTAAATAACCCTAGTCCATGGTTCAGACCGCAATTCCCTCTAATATGTTGGTTAACCTGTTAACATGTTAATTATAATACATCAAGGAGATATTATGGAGTATATCTGCATTAAAATAAGAAGTGCATTTAAATCATCTTTGTTATGATTTGATATCATTGATAAAAATAAAATAAATTTTAATTTTGTTTACCAACGAAGCTACATTTGTGTGAAAGGACAATTGTAAGATTTAAAAAAAATAAATGTATGCAGTCACAGCATTGTGTGAATAAAGTTTCATCTCAAACAGCTACAGGTTTAGTCAAAGACTTAGACATTCCTGTTACAAATGTTAAGTTTAATATCTGTGTCGTCGGTGCAAACGAGTTTCCTGGACGTCACCAAAATGTTTGCTTCTGACGATATTCGAGGCGGGAAGTAAAGCTTTAAAAGTGACTCTGAACAATTGCATTCATACGAACGAAATTTCTTATTATAGAGGAAACTTATAGAGGATCTTGCAGCGGAAATGTATATAAACAAAATTAAAAAATGAAACAAAATGAGACAAGAAAGTATGATCGCTCGTCAATTATTATTATTATTATATTCTCAACGGCCCATCAACACAAACCAGCTCATTAGGGCCAATACAGTAGCCAAAACATGTTTAAGGGGAAATATCAAACTAACGAAAAGGTAAAAGATAAACGTCAACTTGAATACATTGTTAAAGTGGCTATGATTTAGTTATATCTTTCTGAACAGACCGACAGTTTTTAGATAGTTAAGAATTATAGAGGTACTGTCTTTTTCGAAAAGTGATTTCAGATCTGTTAAACTTGTCAACTGCAAGGACAAAAATGCACTTGTATTGCATTGTACAACTTTATTTGGTTTATTTTGCTATTAAAAGTATAAAAAATCAAAACACCCATACAATGTAACTATGTATCACATCCTGAAGCGCTTCGATATAATTTTGTATAGAAAAAGTTGGAAAATAATGTTCGTAATGATCTTTGAAACATGCTATTGATACCACCTAGTGCATAAAGAAAAGAAATTTGATCCATGTGCGACATGTGTGTGAAAGTGACGATTTGTTTCTTAAATATCAGTTTGAAGAGCGACCCTTATTTCCCGCATGTTATAGGGGGCCGGAGTTCTGACGTTAATCGATGCCAGAACGATATAAAAACAGTCGATAAAACGTCAGAATAATAAGGACTAAGTTTGAGGCTGAGGCTGAAGGCAATCCTTGTTTGTTTCTGATTATTGCCATGCTAATTAGTATGTTTTAATTTCCTTTCAAATGTAAAAAGGAAGGTTAATTGTGGTATGAAACACTGCAATGTAATAATGTGGTGACATTTTATATTACATTGTTCTAAACATGTATGCTTGAATTTATTGGAAGTTATAACAGACCCGGAAACATTTTTTTATTAATTTCATTTTATTTCAATAATCATGATGCAGTGTAAGAATTTCTATTTCATTTCACATTTGTATGCAGTATGAGTGAGACAATTTTTGTATTGCTATGTTTAAGTTTTTCACCCTCTCCGGAGGTTTGTGGAAATAAAGCCATTAAACAGCACAGCTTCGATTTATATAAATAACACGAAACAAATAAACATTACAAAAAGTCCCCTCCACCAGATCCTGATAGGGGATTACACACGATTCTAATTTAAATATCTTATCGGATCTAGATGGATGCAAATAAGAAAAACAAACAGCTTCCGGATTTTTTTTTGCCACTTTCGAATTTCTAAAATCATTCTTTTTTATTTATCTAAAATATTGTGCTCCCCTAAATGTTAACATCTGAAACAGTTATGTTTGTATTCGTCGATACTTTTCCCGATTACTTGGATCGTAACAAATTATTTCCTTTCACTCGAATCTGAATTTACATTTTGAGTTTCGCATTTTTTCCTGGTAGAGTTTGTCGAATACTTCGTTTTGTGCCACAGTGAAATGGTTCTTCCAATCTCCGACCTCTCCTGGAAATGCAAACATAGGTACAGGTATGAAAATCAGGATATCTCAAAGTAGTAATGTCTGTTTGGCATATTTAAATGAGTGAAAATAGGCTATCCTGATAGCAGTTATGGAGCATATCTTCCGGAACACCTGGTCCTATTCTCCTTGAACTGTTACAAGAGTCTTCATGTAAAACTCTCATTTTTACTTATTTTGCCAAAGTTTTATCGATTTTGAAATTCGAAATGTGAAGATTTGATGACTCTTCTGTACTCCCTGTTCTTGTTTTTTATTTTCTTTTTCTTTTTCTAGAGTGGATAATATAAGAGCAGTTTTGATTTTAAGCAATATTTGGAATTTAGAAAGATGTGAATGAAATGAATACAAAATGCCGTTCTGATTGGACAAAACCCAAAATGATATTATAATGCTGATTAACTCTGATTCTTTCACAGTGAGAGATATACATGTTTTATCGTGTGTATTACCTTTCCTGTAGATTGGTAATTTCTTTTCGTCGGACATTCTGTGTATAAACTCCTGATCTTGAGGTTTGATTTCGTCTATGATTGTTTTCACCATTGTTTTAAACGTACATCTGTCAGTGACCTCCTCCAGGAATGATTGGTCATAAGTCACGCCTAGAAACGACGCCATCTTATTGACATTTGAGAGGAGATCCTGCAAAACAAGTTGCATTTTGGATATTCATCGTTTTGAACGTGTAATTCATTGAGGAACCGAATCGATCCAAACCCCGTTCACCTGTTGTTCAATACTGTTAACGTATATGGAATATATAGATGATCGTTAATTGTTTCCCGTTAAAATTCATAAAGTTTTTTTTACGAGTAAAGGAGAATACCGATATTTTGTCATGAATACGAAGCACAAGTCAATATATATGTGTCTATATACAGCCTTACACATTTTCTCAAATACCTAAAAAGATCTACCAGAAAAATAGTGATTTTTTTATTGAATTAATATATTAATGTATGTAGCGAATGTAAAACAAAAAACTTGAATTCTCTAGTCGCTTCTTTTGCATCTGACAGAAAATCTGCAACTCGTTTGCAGTGAATAGTAAGAAGCGCCTTGATTGGTCAGTATTAAACACCGAGATCCTCGCACTGAGAAAAATGGTACAAACTGCTAGTTATATGTATATCAAATACAAGGTATGGCCCCCTCCGCAATTCTTGATGTTCTGCTAAAAACCTGTAAGCGTGCATTGAGCTATAACATAATCTTAGCATTGTGTAGTAGCAGATTTGAGACATTTCATGGCCCCAAATACTTCTACCTGGTGAAAAGACTCACCTGTTTCATGTCTTCGTACACCAAATACATGACATTGTCTCCTTTGTAGGTGGCCTCGGTCTCCTCCCAGTCAAAAAGTGTTTGGAACCAGGAACCATACAACACTGTAGACATTATTAAAAGATGACTATAAATAACTCGGTATAGTGACAGACACTTGCATCCGAACACATGCTACTTTCCTATTATATAACCCCCTCTGGTCACCAGTGTCCAATCTAATACATTGTAAGTACAATAGATAGCTAAAGAGGTCACATAGTAGGAAGTGCCCACACAGAAAAATGTGGTAGATGTGTGAAGATGAAACATGTCTAGAATTTGTTAGAAAGGCAATTGCACTAGTTAATTATAAATTTTGATATTTTTTAACTACATCTTGTAACAACTGCATGATTAATTTAATTGATGCAAATGAAGCATTGTGTTGATATGTTTTTTTTAAAAAGACCAGAATTCGACAATCTTAATGTTTTCTAAAAAATAAATAGAAACCTTTAAACGTTTTGTTGAAATCTATATGAATATCTTCGAAATCGAAGGGCTTTGGTTTCGAATCACATATATCGTCTCTACAACCCCTTGGGAAATGTCATAACCACAATTGATGACTCTGAACGCGCCAGATCGCAGATGTTACAAATAGACAAGTTTGGTCCTTTGATATACACAAAAGTATAGCTTGGCACCATAACACTTTTGAAGTCTGATGCCACGTGCCTTTGATTTTGTCATCACATATTGTAAGAGTGGGGAGAGGTAATGTGTATCGGAACCATTTGATTCCAAATGTTTGTTTATCATTGTATCTTGCTACGCTGCTGCCCCATACTATCAACATTCACGCCAGGTAAAAGTTATTGAAAGTTAATATAATATACAGTTTACCGATACGGAAAAAAATAGAATGTAAAATAAGCATACATCAATATTGCTTTTAATTTTGTCCAACACTTTAATGATACATTAAAAACCTGCGATTATGCTTTGTAGTTTGGTGAAATCTTACTTTTAAAATTATATATAGTTTATCACTTTGGAAAGAATTAGATGTGAAATACGAACAAATCAATACTGCTGTCCTTATCTAAAACGTTACTGTGACACTGAAAAACTTTTGTATTCAAATGTGCTTTGAGAAAAATACTCACTTTTGCCCTCCATATAAAATCTGAGAAATCCCTCCCACGATCCTGAAAAATCCGCCTGATTTAATTTCAGGAGAAAAGTATAAAGAGAGACAGCGACGTCTTTGGGATTTCTTGACACAACAAACACCTTTCCCTTTCCTTCTCTGACCTGGCGGGGAAGTCGGTCAAAGGTCATGTGAGAGGCAAACAGCCTTGGCGATGGTAACTTGTCCAGGACTTCTACGTCGTTGTAATCAAGGAACTGTGGAGATCCTATGTAAGTAGACTTACCAGTTCGGAGCATACTGGCAATCGTGAACACCCAATGCGTTCCTGAAAAAAGGTAAAATAACAAACGGAAAAGTCGTTTATAGATTCAATCGTGTTACTAGATAATTTTATATGTGGTTTGTCTATGTGTTTCCTTACATTTATTTAAAATTGTCAAATGTTACCTTTATTGGCACATATGGTTCACACTAGTCCTGCTAATATCCAAGGATCTTTTTAGAAAGTAATTTAACACGTTTATAGTTAATGCCCAAACGTAACAGCGAATAGGATATTCAGATGAAAACAAAATTCATAGACATCAGAATGAAACACATTTAATCAAATGTTGCTAACAGTTATTCTAGACGAGAGGCTCAACTGTAGGGTAAGGTAGCTTCCTTGAAGGAAGGGTTAACTTTTTATTTTGTTTGTCGTCCTATTAACAGCTGAGGTCATTTAAGGATGTGTTTTTGTTTAATATAAGCGTACAAATGTGTATGTGCCTCCTTGCTAATGCATTGATCTGATGTCGGCTTCAGAGTCTTATTTTAATGGAATACCATGCTCGAAAGTACCCAGCAATGTACTTCGCCTGGTAACATCCTACTACGACGGTAAAACAAGTTGTTGCCATTCCCCTAACAGCTGAACATTAAGCAGGGAATAACAACAACCATTACAAGGACTTTGGTATATCCTGGCCCGGGGGGATAACACATTGCCTATCCCCACTTGGGCAAACATTCTACACTTAGGCAAAATGTGAGGCATTGCCAAGGAAGGTGCTAGGAAACAGAGAGGTTTTTAGAAGTAGAGAGAAGATATACTGATCCAAAACATTGACATGGATGCTGCAGATTTCTTTTTTTGGTGATCTGGTTTTGCCCTCTGGTAGAGAGCAAAAACAAACGCCCAATTCTGCAGGGGGTTTCATCGTTACTTACCTCATACAACATCTAATGGGTGTTATCAGGTGTGCTTTTTTTCAACTCCCCGACCTGCAGGGGTATGTGAAGTAGGGGAGTTTATGTGATGTAGTATAACTACTATCAAATATCATCCTCGATATCCAGTGGTTACGCTCACTTTCGCTCTCTACACCTCTGGAATATGTCACAGCAAATTTGAAGGCTCAGTGTGCGCCACCTTGTTGATGAGACAAGACTAGTTCTATCCTTTGATAAACATCAAAAGAATCTCGCGGTCAGGTAACTGTAATACTTGACAGGCCTTGAAGTCGGGCGTCTCTCCTCTGTAACCTTCAAATGACAGGTATCGGCCTAGCGATTGATCAGGTATTTTTTTACCTGAGACAAATCAAACAGCTATCCTCGTGCCTTCAATTTTGCTATGCGATATCCCAGGGGTGCAGAGAGCGAAAGTGAGCGTAACCCCTGGATAACGAGGATGTCAAATATAGGTAGCTACAGTTGTGTTAGTTAGTAACTGTCAAGTAAAGTATCCGCTCGAAAGTAATGTAGCAACTGTTTAGTAGGGTAGTGAATGTAAAATATCAATGCTAATGTAAAGACAGACGATCTGCTGTAATGAACGTTACCTACTCTGAAGTAAGATAGCTACTGTAAAATACTCTAAATCAGACAATTTAAATCAATTACACTTCACGAACGTTCAGTATTTGAGTTAAATCAGATTTAATCGTCTATCTCGAATTCTAAATATTTCAGTCATTGTTAAAGAAATAATTTTGAAGAATATGAATATTTATTCATTTTAAAATCTTCAATAATCGCGAATAAGTCGTCTGGAGCACAGTAGCGAAAGGTGATTATATAAATGGTATCAAACATGACTAAACTATCTTTGTTAAAGGAAACTATAGAAGAAGATGGTTACCTTGGTTAATGCATATCAAATAGTGTAGAATGCCGATAATAAAATTCTCCGGTTCAAATAGACTAGGCTATATGATTGCATGATCTATTAGATAAAGTTGTATGTTTACATATACTTGAAGTATGATAATTCTGTAGCCATCAGGTGAGTTATCAAAATACACACGCAGGGTGATGTAGGAAAGATTAGGTTTCGCACTTTGCTATCATTTCTTACTTATATGATTATGTTTATATTTGGCTGTATACCCGTGTTTTGACAAAGGTTAAAGTATTCTTTGGGATGTCATAAATGTGTACGTGACACTATGAACATCGGTAAAATTTCTACATTTTTACCATGATATTTAAAACCCCAAAATACAAATATGTAATATGTCTTGGTGTTGACAGCAACCGCCCTTGTGGTTTGATTTAAAAAAAAAATGGGATTGAAGTTATTTGTTTCTCAAACATAATTTCTAAACTTGGCCGTAATGTAACGGCAGCAACGAGTCCCATAATTGTACTCCGTATCACAGGTTATGAAATGATATTCATTTCTAACAGTTGGTATTCAGACTGCAAAAAACTACACTATCTTAATAGATATTTTACTGAACTACAATTCTTATATATAAACTTATTTATTTTTCTATTATAAGGACTTGAGACCAACACTTATGTAGGCCGACAATTATCCTCTTCAAAATCTTTCAAAATGATTTCGATCTATATTGTTATTTCTGGTTTTCTGACATATTTTTTCGGAGTGAAAGAAACCTCTTAAAATTTCACAAAACACACATTTACTTGGCGGAATAACTGTTTAAAATGAATTCTGTTGTACCCAACAAGGAATATACACAAATTTCAATTTCAATGACAATGGCGATTCCAACATTTTCTGGCAGTAAAGCAATCTAGCTAACGTGTCAATTTTAGCAGTGTCGTTTTATATCATTATTAGGTATGTCACTAAATCCGTGGACATAAATATAAATCATTGTTAGGTTTGTCACTTAAGAACTAATATACAATATCTTCATCAATATTTGGTGTTTAATTAAATCAGGTTCAGAACAAGATTTTAACATGATGATCACATCTTGAATCAACTTTCATTATGTAAGTACCTGACTTTGGGTAGGAGAGTATAAAAGTGTCATCCTCTCGTACCTCCATGCTGTCTATCTTCTCCAGATGATCCTTAATATTTCCGGGGATAAGACTGACATACAGTTTTCCTTCATATTTCTTTGTTCTGATGTAATTTCCCTCGGAGTCCGACTCTTCGATCCACTCACACATCGTTAATGCTTTAGACTGCTCCAGGAGAGTGATGACTACCGCCTATGATTAAACAACTGTGAGTCAAGTTATGTGATAGTTAACTGGCGCTAGGTCAGACATGAACTTGAATACCCTCACCGGGAAGACATGTACAGATAACAGATATTTTAATGTTGTATTAAGTCACATCGAAACTAGGCCAAACATTTTTGTGAGAATCTAGGTTTTCCAAATGACCGTAATATATAGCAGGGGATTAGACTGACATAATATAGCTTCCTTCATATTTCTTTGTTTTCAAGTATTTACACTCCAAATACGACCCCTTCCCATGAAAATGATGGGTATGACATCTGTAAATTGGTTTAGATCATATCTGAGTAACAGACATCAGACAGTCAAAATTGACGAAAATGATTTGATTCATAGCCATACAATTACTATCCAACCACTTTCGACACCCCCAACCCTCGTCCCTACCCCTAACTAAAGTTATAGTAAAAATCTTGTTTTTCATAAATAAATCAGAAGGTATATAATTCAAAATTCAGATATCTGTCTCGTTACCTTTCTATAAAATGTCTTTAAAACTTCAGCTTTAAAAGAAGAAAATATTCTCATCAGCTGATAATATTGGGTCAACTGACTTTGTGGGGTTTCTGCGGTTACCCCGTTTTCTTCTCACATCAAGACTTTCTGTGTGTTTCTATCCTGGCCAACCAACAACAGCTAGTAATATAAGTAATATAAAAAATGTCTAAAATTGCAAAATATATAAAGTTTAGATATAAAATAATACCAAAACGATAAACTAGAAGCAGTAGTGCAATGTAAGCCCACGCACTGGAATAGTTAACTGACGCTAGGTCAGACATGAACTTGAATATCCTCACCGGGAAGACATATACAGATAACAGATATTTTAATGTTGTCTTAAGTCACATCGAAACTAGGCCAAACATTTTTGTGAGAATCTAGGTTTTCCAAATGACCGTAATATATAGCAGGGGATTAGACTGACATAATATAGCTTCCTTCATATTTCTTTGTTTTCAAGTATTTACACTCCAAATACGACCCCTTCCCATGACCATGACACGCCCTGTGGCAAGTTGAAAATGATGGGTATGACATCTGTAAATTGGTTTAGATCATATCCGAGTTACAGACATCAGACAGTCAAAATTGACGACATCTACTCGGACCCAGCTACTATTACGTGTGGGGTACCACAAGGTAGTATTTTAGGCCCTCTTTTATTCTTATGCTATGTCAACGATATGGCAATCAGCATTGATGTAGAATGCAAATTACTATTATATGCCGATGACAGTGCTATCCTTTTCGCACATCAAAGCCCAGAATTAATTTTGGTGCTGTACTTGAATCATGTGCAGAGTGGTTAGTTGATAATAAGCTTTCGTTGCATTTAGGTAAAACAGAGAGCATGCTATTTGGAACGAAAAGAAAATTAAATCAAATTGATCAATTTGAAATTGTCGCAAACAATCATACCATCAAACCAACAAAATCTGTGAAGTTTCTTGGAGCTAATATAGATTGTTGTATGTCTGGCGAAGAAATAGTAGAAAACATCGTGAAGAAACTAAATTCTAGACTGAAATTTGTATACAGACAAAGTAAATGCCTAACTACAAAAACCAGACAAAGTTTATGTTCTGCACTGATACAGGGTCACCTAGATTATGCATGCTCCGCGTGGTACTCAGGATTGAACAAGAAAACGAAGAACAAATTACAGGTTTTACAAAATAAAGATGTCAGATTTATTAGAAAATTGGAACCCAGAACGAGTATCACTCCCACTGAACTGTCAAAGCTCAATATGTTAAATATAGTATATAGAGTCAAACAATTAAGACTCAATCATGTGAATAAGATTTTTTATGGAAAATGTCCATCCTACTTAAACCTAAATTTCATAAAAGTGTCAGGTGTTCATCAGCATAACACACGATCATGTCTTTTTAATTTTGTTGTTCCACCATGTTAAGGGAAAGATACCTCTACTTTTTATTTTAACGGGATCCATGACTGAAATAGTCTGCCTGGCAAAATCAAGGGTGTAAAATCCATATATGCATTAAAGGCAGCAGTGAAGAAACATCTCGCTTTTAAATTTCAAAATGCATGCTGATAACACAATTATATGTGATTGCGGTGGCACAAAACAAGTAGACTTTGCTGGTAGAGGATCCCCAACCCTAAGAAAACAAACTTTGTGTCACTGCAATCCACGTGCTGATGACATCCGTAGAGTATTATTTTTGTTATTTAGAAATACTTAGAAAGTCACGTTACATATTTTAAGTTGGGCTAACTATTTAAACCTGAACATATATATGTGTTTTTTAGATTATATAGTCATTACGGAATTACTATAGGTACTGACAATAACGTTAATCATATGTTGTCTATCATTCCCTCCTGCCAAAATCTTTCCCTGTGATCAATATAACATGTACCCCATTAGAAAGAAGCTTTCGAGCTTTCATTGGCTATCCTCAGGTTTATAGATCAATGTTTGTGTTGTATTAATTGTATAAATACATCACCTATATCTTAAAATCAGTTATGAATTTTAGTTTCATATATAATATAATATTTTAAGATAATACAATGTTTTTTTACTGACGATAATTTAATTCATGTAGGTTCATTAGTATTTGAGCGTCCGGAGAGCTTGTAAGAAGGGGATGCCCAATCACCTGCTCATTGGACTGCTCCAAAAACATGTGATATTCTGTTTAATATTTTTAGTAATATACATGTATGTTGTACTGTAATATGTATGTCAATTGTCATGTTACATGTGATGTCTATGATCTATTTCCTGAAATAAACATTATTGTTATTCCATCCCTCACACATAGTTAATGCTTTTGAATGCACTAGGCAATCACTGGTAGTATTATGTTGGGCAAAAAACGTTAGTGATAGAGTCGTGTATGTTTATGTAAATTCCTGCATTACATTGCGTGGGTTGACTCATCAGCATTGCCTGGCTGGTGTGTAGAATATCCATGGTAGGAGATTCCTGACTGACGGCTGTCAGGAAATATATAGAATTACGACAAACCACATACAATCATCTAAATGACTCAATAATATACGGCGTTTCCCGATATAAAGTGGTGTAGACAGCACTGAATTTTGTGTCGTTGTTTCATTTCATTTTCAGCATTGTTTTCCCATACAAATTCCGGATTTATGTTGTTTTTTTAGAAATGGTGTATTGAATATATTGTCATGTCATTAAAAAAATCGCACAAATATGTTTTTGGCAATGGCGCGGGGAATCTTAACGTAGAAATTAACATGTGTGGAATATATTAGCCAACAGTGCGTGTGTGCAGTAATAGCTAAACTCGGGCAGACATAAATGTGACTTCCTGTATCAATAGCTAGGGTGAAGTATGTATTAAGGATCCCCGTACCACTGTCAAAAATTGTACCTATGCATTAAAATATGATTTTTCTGGCATAACTATAGTTTTAATAGATACTTTCGGAAAAGATGACTATACATTAAGCGGCTTTTAAAAAACCTAAAATGAAGATCAAATAGACAAACAGAATCAAAAACATCGTTGTGAGTCTAAATAAAAGGGTGCGTATAGTAGCTCAGAGATTCGAACCCTATACCTCGGATTGTTATACTGTCGCTCTTATTGCAACTGAGCAACATGTGCTGCATTTTACAGAATTAAAGGGGATGTTACTGTCAACACGAAAAATCAGTCTTCGATCAATTCTCATTTTGAAAATGAAATTCCCAAAATAAATGTATATATGGCTCGTATGTAGTTTGATAACAGATCAACCGCTGTGCGATATTGGTGAGAACTCCTGAAAAATATAGAACTACGACAGATCACACTTATAATGGCATACTCTTGTTGTTTTTTTCATTATAAAATTGGAACTGGTGCATGTTTCATTTATCAAAATTCCCGTTTTGGCACTACAATGATTGAATTCTGTGAGTTTTCCCCTCAATATTTCACTTAATCTCGCGTGCGTTGTGTTGACATATCAAAATATCAGGTTACGATACGAATTCGTTAATCAATAAACAGTATAAAAATTCGGTGTCCAGAATTTCTTTTATCGAAATTGAATTTAGTTTTCGTAATAGAAATATTTCATAAATTTGTGTGTTAACTTATGATAAAGTCAAATGCAGGAATAAGGCGTCAATATTCAAACCAAAGCTTCTGCTGAAAATGATTTGATTCATAGCCATAAAATTACTATCCAACCCCTTTCGACACCCCCAACCCTCGTCCCTACCCCTAACTAAAGTTATAGTAAAAATCTTGTTTTTTCATAAATAAATCAGAAGGTATATAATTCAAAATTCAGATATCTGTCTCGTTACATTTCTATAAAATGTCTTTAAAACTTCAGCTTTAAAAGAAGAAAATATTCTCATCAGCTGATAATATTGGGTCAACTGACTTTGTGGGGTTTCTGCGGTTACCCCGTTTTCTTCTCACATCAAGACTCCCTGTGTGTTTCTATCCTGGCCAACCAACAACAGCTATTAATATAAGTAATATAAAAAGTGTTTAAAATTGCAAAATATATAAAGTTAATATAATACCAAAACTATAAACTAGAAGCAGTTGTGCAATGTAAGCCAACTCACTGGAATACTGATCGATTAAACAAGATTAATGTCCACTTAACACTATTTATAGGAATACAATTTCATCTTCTACAAATAAACAATTTATATCAACAAGATTTTAAAAACCGGTTTAATCTTTAGACAGAAAGAAATGATATATCAAATCTTCGAGACGTGTATATGAAATGTAGATGTTATAAAATGAATATAGCTCTCCCGAAGCACAATAGGTTAAAGCAAGCTGTTGTGATTTCCCTAAATGCTGAACGTTTAGCAGAAAAGAAACAACTACCATTTTTAAGGACTTTGGTATGTCCCAACATAGTGACAGAACCAACTGCTTGCTTTCCACACTTTGGCGAACCATCAACAGTGACGCCAAAGGTGAACTATTGCCAAGCAATGTGTTAGGAAACAAGCAGGCTAGATCAAAACTGTTGCGGCTGATGCAGCGGATTTATAGATTTATTTTGATCGCTGGTGTGTCCCATAGTAGATGGTACAAAAGCAGGTCCCCAATTCTGCAGGGGGTTTCCACATTAATTGCCTCTTACAACATACAGTTTGTAACAGCAGGTATATTATTTTCTTGTTGACAAAACACAAATTGCAACGGCCATCTCTCGGACAGTGTTGTCACTCACATACATATTCTTTACTTTGAAACCCGCTCATGGACTGTAAATTACAGTTTACGGAGGTGATATTTTCATATTGAATCTCATTTTTTATTTGAATATGTACGTGATTTCAAACAACGGTGTGGAAGATTTTATGTTATATTTATTTAAAACGATTAGTTATCGATTATCGGTCAGTTAAGGGAAACCGATTCCCAACACAATATACTATATGATTGTATATATCTACACAAGTACGCATGTGAAGGTATATGAAAGGTCAACTAAAGCTATATCACTGCAGTGGCGGATCCAGAGTTTTTTGGGGTTTTTTTGGCTTCAGGAAACCCCCAAACCTGAGAATTTTCTTTAA